TGAGACAGGAGCCTCAAACTGTCCCCCTGGGTAGAGTGCTCTGGCATCACAGCTCACAGCAACCTCTAACTCCTGGGTTCAAGTGAATCTCCTGCCTCAGCCTCCTGAGCAGCTGGGACCACAGGCGCCCACCACAACACCCGGCTATTTTTTGGTTGCAGCTGTCATTGTTGTTTGACGGGCCCAGGCTGGATTCAAACCCGCAACCTTGGGTGTATGTGGCTGGTGCCTTAGCCACTTGAGCCACAGGCGCTGAACCTGTATAATGAAATCTTATTATTGTTATTATTTTTGAAACAGAGCCTCAAGCTGTCACCCTGGGTAGAGTGCCATGACATCACAGCTCACAGAAACCTCCAACTCCTGGGCATAAGCAATTCTGTTGCCTCAGCCTCTCAAGTAGCTGGAACTACAGGTACCCACCAAAATGCCCAGCTATTTGGCTATTTTTTGGTTGTAGTTGTCATTGTTTGGCACGCCTGGGCTGGATTTGAACCTGCCAGCTCTGGTGTATGTAGCTGGCACCTTAGCCACTTGAGCTACAGGTGCCAAGCCTTATTTAGTTATTTATTTTTATTGTTTGGGATTCATTAAGGGTACAAAGAATTAGGTTACATTGATTGCATTTGTTAGATAAAGTCCCTCTTATAATTGTGTCCATTCCTAAAAGGGGTACCAAAAACTGTGACCCACCCATCGCTCTCCCTTCTCCCCTCTCTTCACTTTTTCATTCCCCTACACAACCCCCCATATTAACTCATCTATTAAGAATTAAATACATTCGATTCTTGCTTCTCACTTTACTCCGAAGAATGTGTTTCAGAGGAGCACCTGTGGCTCAAAGGACCAGGGCACTGGCCCCATATGCCGGAGGTTATGGGTTCAAACCCAGCCCTGGCCAAAAAGTGCAAAAAAAAAAAAAGAATGTGTTTCAACTCCATCCAGGTTAATACAAAAGATGTAAAATCTCCATCTTTTTTAGTGGCTCAATAGCACTCCATGGTATACATATACCACAGTTTGTTAATCCATTCCTGGATTGGTGGGCACTTAGGCTATTTGGCGATTGTAAATTGAGCTACAATAAAAAGTCTAGTGCAAATGTCCTTATGGTAAAAGGATTTTTTTTTCTGGCTAGACACCTAGAAATGGGATTGCAGGATCAAATGGGAGGTCTAATTTGAGTTATTTGAGGTGGATGACTATGCTCTTCTGGCTTGGAAGATTTCAGTCAGTAGAAAAGTCTGCTGTCATCCTAATGGCTTTACCTCTGTAAGTCAGTTGGTGCTTACTCCTGGCTGCTTGCAGAATTTTTTCTTTTCATCTTAACTTTGGATAGGTTCATTACAATATGTCTTGGAGAAACTCTGTTTGAGTTGAGATGACCTGGGGTTCGATATCAATCAAAGGAATGTGTCAGGATCATTAGTAAAACTTGGAAAGTTTTCATTTATGATAGTCTCCAGTAGGGCTTCCATTTCTATGGGACAATCTTCTTCCCTTCAGGAATCCCTATTATTAGTATGTTTGAACACTTCGTGAAATCTCGTAGTTCTCTAAGCTCCTGTTCTGCTTTCTCACTCTTCTTTTTTACCTCTTTAACTACCTGGCTTAACTCGAAAACTTTATCCTTTAGTTCTGAGGTTCTTTATTCTCCATGTTCTAATCTATTTTTGATAATTTCTACTTCATCTTTATATTCCTGATTGTCTCCTCCATTTCCTTAAGCTCTCCTATATCCTTTCCATAGTCTACATATCTCTCAGCCGACTTTTGGTTCTGTCTTTTCCATTTTCTCATCCATTCCCTTTATTGTCTTTATCATTCATATTTGAAATTCCCTTTCTTTCAAGTCCATTAATTCTTTTTTTTTTCATTAATTCTTTATAGGTAGTGTCTTCAGCAGTAGCTGCCTCATTTTCCCTTGGGGGAGTTCCACTGTTTTGGTTTTTTATGTTGCCTGAATTTTTCTGTTGGTTCCTCCTTATGTGTTCTTTCTTCTTGTTCACTGCCTTGTCCTCCTTTTTACTTCTTACTGCCTCCTTTGTTCAGAAGTCCTTGCTCTTGATGATGGTATGTTGCAATATGTCATTAGGACACCAGGTGGTGCTGTGGTTTCTTTAGGAGACAGCACAGCCAGCGACCTCTATGATTCTTTTTCCTAATTTAATTGCTTTAGGTGATTGCCTGATTGTTTCCTCAGTATTCAGACCCTGCAGGCTGGGATCTTATAGATCACAAGAATCCTCAGGGGAAGGTCTCATAGTGCCCCCTGACTCCAGTCCCCTTGAGGTGTGGGGGTCCCTCAGTCTGTCCCAAGAGTGGAATTCTGATCCCAGGAGGTGGAATTTAGATGGACAGTGCTTTAGGCCCCTACTAAGACCTGTCATGACCTTCCCACAATGGCAGCCCCCTGGCCACCCAGCCTTCTCAGTATGGCTGCCTCGCCAGCCACCAAACTTAGGGCAAATCCACTCCAACTGGCATTCAAATCTGGTTGCAGTATACTATTTGGGTCTGCCCACTCTTCTAAGCTTTCTACTACACAGGCAGCTTCCCCAAGAACTGACAACTCCAGAAAGGCTTCCTCCCTCCCGTGCCTCTGTGGGCAGCCAGCCAACCTCGCCACTCAGCTGGTGGCAATCAGTTGCCTAATTCATGAGATTTCCACCACTCTGGATCTTACACTATCCAGTTCACCACCTCCTCGCTGTCCTTCCTAAGCTATGACTCTGGGTAGGGTCCCCACACCAAGAATGGCTGAGTTCTTTCTTTTTCTCCAGTCATTCCAGGAGAGCTCAGCTGAACAATTCTTCTGGTCCACCATCTTGCTCTGCCCCCAAAACCTCACGTTGTTTTAATCAGAATTTTCCTACTAGCAACAGATGCCGAATATCTTTTTCAGGTGCTGAATTGCCTTCTTTAAATTTTCTTCAGTGAAATTTCTCATATGTTTTGCCCCAATTTCTGCTTGGATTTTTTTTTTTAACTTTTATGTTAGAGAGTTCTTGACGTATTCTGGATACTAGTCATTTGCTAACTAGCTGGTCTGTTATACTCTTCACTGAGTGTTTCATAGAGTCAAAGTTTTTTTTAGTGATTTTTAGTATCAAAAAGCATATATAAAGCAATTTTTTATTTCAACCATTTTAAGTGTACCATTCAGTGGCATTAATTACGTGTAAAATGTTGCATAATCATAACCACTATTTCCAGTTTCTATCATCATCCCAATTTCTATATCAATTAAGCAATTGTTCCATTTACACCTCTGCATAGCACATTTGACCTCTAATCTACTTTTTGTCTCTATATAAATTTTGCCCATTCTAAATTATTCATATACATGGAATCATACACATCTGTCTTTTTGTGTCTAGTTTAATTCACTTAGCATGTTTTTAAGGTTCACCTATATTATACTGGTATCAGAATTTCATTTCTTTTTACGGTGGAGTAAAATTCCATCATATTTAGATATAGCATTCTGTTTTTCTAATCATCTGTTGACAGACAGAGGGTTCCTTGGACATGTTGGCTATTGTGAATAATACTCATATGAATATGTGCATACATGTATTTTTTTTTTTGAGGATCTGTTTTCAATTATTTTTGGAACATACTTAAGAGTGGAATTTATGGATTATGTATAAATTCTATGTTTAACATTCAGAGGTACCTCAAACTGTTCCTCAGCAGAGGAACCATTTGATATACTTGTGTTCCAATATCTCCCAATTTCATCAGCACTTGTTCTTTTTTTTTCTTTTCTTTTTTCCTTTTCAATTCTAGCCAACCTACTATATGTGAAGTGGTATGTCATGGTTTTGATAGGACATGATGGTGCTGAGATTCTTTTCATTTGCTTCTTGGTCATTTGTGTATCTTCTCTGGATAAACAGCTAAGCCCTTTGCCCATTTTTGAATTGGGTTGTGCTTTGGTTATTGAACTGTAACCATTTTTTGTATGTTGTAAATGTTGCACCCTTGTCAGATATTTGATTTGCAAGTAGCTTCTCACACTATTTAAGTTTTCTTTAACTTTCCTGGTAATATCCTTAAGTGTACAAAACTTTTACATTTTGATGAAGTCCAATTTACTTACTTTTTCCTTTGTTTCTTAAATTTATGGTGTCATATGTATGAATCTATTACCAAATACAAAGTCACAAAATTTTACTCTTGAGCTCTTCCTACAAGTTTTATGATTTTAACTCTTGTATTTAGGTTATTTATTCATTTTGAGTATGTTTTTGTATACGATGTGGGATAGGGGTTGCGATGGTTTATATTAGGTGTCCCCTTGACAAAGGGTGCCAAAAAATGTAGACACATTTTAAGAGATGTTATCTATGTATTACTTTTAGAAGTTAAATTGAAGGTACAGTTACTGGTCAAATATACCTAGACGTGCTGTGCATATCCATTTTATCTGCACATTGTACACTCTGGGGGAATGATTGATTTAACTTCCAAGAAGATCTCTTAAAATTTGTATACTTTTTTTTTGCACCCCTTGTATATCTATGTATACAGACTATGTCACATGTCAAGGGGGTTAGTATAACTCATTCTGTTCCAAATCAGATACATTTTACTTACCTTTCAGACATAATTGCTTTGTCCACAACTTCCAGTATGTAGCTAAATTGTAGTGGTGAACAGGAACATCCCTGTCATCTTTCTGCTATTAGGCAAAAAGCTTTCAGTCCTTCCCCAGATTTATGAATCTAACTGTGGATTCATCATAAATTCTCTCTTCATGTTGATAAATTTTCCTTTTATTTCCTCTTTTCTGAGTGTTTTCAGGTCATTGGTGAATGTTAGTTTTTGTAAAATGCTTGTTCTGTATCAATCAAAATGATCAGATGATATTATAGTTCTTTCTTCTTCTTAATGTGGCTATTTTAATTTAGGATCTTTAAGATAGAGAGCATCCATTCAATCATTACAAAAGGAAGCTTTTATTCCTTACAGGTGCTGGGAGATAGACTGCATGTCCAGAGGCCACATACAGATTGTCAGGCAGTGCATGGAGAGAGAGGGAACAAGTGACCATACTGAGTCCAGGGTATTATTGACACAGATTTCCAGTGGGGAGTTTTAATTGGTAGGTTTAAAGCAAGCAGGCTTAAGTCACAGGAGGTCACACTGTAAATGAGAAGTCATCACATGTCTACACAGTCAGTCCAGGGTGTGGAGGTCTGCAGGATCAGTCAAGTAGGCTGTATCTAGCTATCCCACAGCAAGGTGGTCACCAGGAGGAAGCTGTATAAGGCAAAGATATATAGATCAACCACATGGAGGAACTGGGAGGAGATGCAGAAATGGAAACTGTCAAGGGTGACTGAGCCCTCCTTCTGGCACAGCAAAGTCCAACTTATGTTCAGATGCTCAGATGCTGAGGCAGTATAAAATTATAGGAATTCACTACATTAGTGTACTGTTTTAATTGCTATTTGTGTGTTGAACACTCTTGCATTCCTAGTTAAAAACAATCACATTTCGTCATGGAGTATAATCCTTTTAACATGCTGTTTAATTCACCTACCTGTTATTTTCTTGATGATTTTCTTCTCTTTTTTTTTTTTCAGAAACAAAGTCTCACTTTGTCACCCTCAGTAGGGTTCTGTGGTGTCACAGCTCACAGCAACATCCAGCTCTTGCACTGAGCCAATTCTATTGCCTCAGCCTCCCGAGTAGCTGGGACTACAGGCACCCGCCACAATACCTGGCTATTTTTGTTGTTGTTGTTGTTGTTGTTGTTGCAGTTTGGCCGAGGCCACATTTAAACCTGCTGCCCTCGGTATATGGGGCTGGCGCCTACTCACTGAGCCACAGGCACCGCCCTTCTTGATGATTTTCTATATTCATACAAGATAATGGCCTGTAGTTTTAATTTCTTTGTTATATGTGTCTGGCTTTGATATCGGAATAATTCTGGACTGAATGTAGTGACTCACACCTATAATTTGCTACTAACTTTCAGAAGCCAAGCTAAGAGGATGAGGAGCCCAGGAGTCTGAGGCTACAGTGAGCCGTGATGATGCTACTGCACTCTGGCCTGGGCGACAGAGTAAGAGCCCATCTTAAAAAAAAAAAA